GAGAAACGAGAGGGGATAGGCAATATGGGGAAGGAAGGGGAACAAAGGGGAACAATGGGAGGATTAGGGATGGCAATTTGCCAAGATCCTCGTGGGATCCTCGTTGCGGGAATAGGGCAAGGAAGAATATTATTTCTCGCGGGGTGGGGACAGGGGGCATTTCCCCCTATTGAAATTTCACGAGGAATTTTCCCCACCCTGCGAAACCCCGCTAAGATCTCCATCCCTGCAAAAAATTAAAAAGAAACTATAAATTAATTTCATTTTAAATTTAATATAATTTTAAAATCCAAACTCAATTCAATAAAATTTAACCCAACCCAACCCAATCCTTTTAACCCTAAGCAGTCTTATTCATTTCTCCATTTCTCTAGTGAATGCCTCTGCCTCTGACTCTCGGACTCTCTCACACTCACTTAAGTCATATTCCACCTTCCCTTTTGGCCCTCCCCTACAAATTTCAAACCTTAAATCCCTCAATCCCTTCATTGCCACCCTTCAACACTTCTCTATTTCACATCTCACCCTTCTGCCTTGAATTGGAGTCTGGATTGCTGCTGCCAAACCAAATCCGTCTAAGACTGTTGCTGCTGCTACTGCACCACGGCTGCTACTGCACCACGGCTGCTACTGTTGCTACACCATGACTGCTGTTGCGCCACTGCTCTGCCATGCTGCACCACTGCTGTGCCATTGCTCCACCATTGCTGTGCCACTACTCCGCCACTAATGCGCCACTACTCCGCCACGGCTGCTACTGCACCACTGCTGCTGTTGTTGCTCAAAGTCGAAGTGGAAGTGTATATTTAGATATTCTGGTGGGGAACGGGGATCCCCGTTCCGCGCAGGGAATGGGGACGGGGCAAAATCTGCCCCCCGTCAAAAATCTCCGCGAGGATCCCCGTCCCAATCATTCGCGGGGATGGGGACAGGGACAGGGACAGGGACAGGGAGGGACTCCCTGGCCCCGCGGGGCCTCATTGACATCCCTAGGGAGGATGCCTCCTTCACCTCGTTTAAATTCTTTTAAAAAATAAGAAAAAAGAAGGAAATATGGGAATGGTGATCGCCAACTACCTAAGTAAAGAAGGAGGAATTGTGATCCATCCAACAAATCCTCAAACCCATAATTTTGGGGGTTGAGTATAGATTTTAGATCATGTTAATGACAATTACAATAATATCATTTTATCAATTAGTATTAAAATCATCCCTTTTTTATTTTACAAGTTAGCTAATGAAAATATTAGACCTTGAGGCAGTTCAATGTATGGACACTGTTCAGCTCAACATTAATGTTTTGATTACGTTTCAATTTTTGTAGCATTTCTGATTAAAGTATATGCTATTTTATTTGTAGAGTTTTTTATTTTATTTATTTATTTATTTATTTTTTGAGAAGGAAGTAGAAAGCTTGGAAACAATGTTGAACTGCATCAATCAAACTCTCCAGCAATTCATTTTTACAAATCATAAAATCTATTTGGTTTTTTTTTTCTTGAATAAAATCTGTGGTTAATTGCCTTTTCTATGTAATTCTAATTGGGTAAAACCTTGTTTATTTTTTGTTTAATTAAACATAAGATGCTTGCATTTGTTATTTGCTATACATTCCATAAAGTAGGAAAAGTTGTAACAAAATCTCTGCACTAAGGTGGAGGGAAGGGGTTCGAGAGGAGGAACTTGAAAATCTACGAATTCGGTACAGAAAACTTTTTTTTTTAGAAAAAGTACGCATTAGTCATAATTT